GGAGTTGGAGTTGATATCGTAGACAACGGAGTTGGAGTTGGAGTGGAGTTGTGAAAAACTAGATAGAGTTGGAGTGGAGTTGGAGTTGGTGCTTTTTTCCAACTCCGATTCAACTCCGATGGATCTCACGACGTATAAGAGAACAACAAAAAATATCCATCAGAGATGAGCAAATTCAACTCTGGAGTTGGAGTTAACTCTGGAGTTGACACTTTTTTATCTGGAGTTGGAGCGGAGTTGGAGTTGACCCTTCAAAAAATCGATGGAGTTGGAGTGGAGTTGGAGTTGACATCACAAACACTGGAGTTGGAGTTGGAGTGGAGTTGTGAGAAACGAGATGGAGTTGGAGTGGAGTTGGAGTTGCTTACCCCCGGAGTTGCCCATCTCTGAATAGACATGATAAAGCATAAAATATACGAATGATTCATATAGTACGAAGGAAAAAAAAAGTTATTTCGTCGTTAAAAAGACGTTAATTTCTGTTCGAGAGGAAGATATCATGGATTAATATGATGAAAACATTCGAACTAACCACGTGAGTGAATATACATAATATTTTGTTCTTAAATGTACGGTTTTTAACAAGAAAGGTATAAAACGTAATTAACGTGACTAAACGAATGAAAATAAATCATACAAATGAATGACAAGTCGATTTTATGATTACCGTCAATGATTATTTGATGAGAAAAAGTAAATGACGTCAAATGCACAAAAAAATATATCATTTGATAAATATTTTTGTACTTATAAGTTTTATAGAAATGGATATAGTTTCAACAGATAATGAATGGGTATCTTTAGAAGAAATTACTCCTCAACCAATGGAAATACAGCAAACATTGCCTGTTGTTAATAATAACATAGTAAAAAATGAACATGAAGTTGAAAATCTTTTGTATGTTCATTTAATTCGATTACATAAATCTGAATATTTTTCTTATTTAGTCTCAATAAATGTTATTCAAAAATACGTTCACATCTAAGTATTTTTATTTCTATTTTATTTGTAAGTTTATCAATACTTACTGGTATTTTGGTTATTTGTTTAACACCACGATCACAGATTGGTAGGTCGTTTATTTATTTATATATTTCAATAAATCTACATTATTTTATAAATAGAATCTTCATGTTCATTAAAATTTACATCAATAAATTCGTTTAAAAGTCAATATGATTCATTTCCGCAATCTCTTGCGCTTGCAGATTTTAATAATGATTATAATATTGATATAGTTATTGCTAATACTAACAATGATAATATTGAAATATTTATTAATAATAATAATCAAACATATATTAGTCAAATAACTTATTCAACTGATATTAATTCTCATCCATATTCAGTTACAGTTTCTGATCTTAATAATGATACATTTATTGATATTATGGTTGCTAATTATGGTACACATTCATTTGGAATTTTTTATGGATATGGAAATAATACATTTAATAATCAAAAAACATTTTCAACGGATTCTTCGCGTCCACGTCAAGTTATTGTTGCTGATATTTATAATGATTATTATCTTGATAGAAATCATTCAAATATGATCTAATCACTGCTATTACCTACGCTCTAATAAAAGATTTAATAATTATCTTGAGGGTGAGGGTGGGTGTTTTCTTTAGACATTTTCGTGCATGCTTTATTAGTCTCATCCATTTAATGGAATTGTAGTTCATTTTCGGAGAAATAAACGGTGACAAAAACATGGCCATTTTCAAAACGTGATTCCGTCGCGACACCTTTTTTTACTTGGATGACTATAATATTATATATTTTGAATTATTTTTATTTCGGTGTGTAGCTAGTCATATATACTATAACTTTCCTATGCAAAAGTTTTTCATCACATTTCTAGTTGAGCTAAACTTTTCGGTTCTCACACACGAAATCTAATGAAACTCTTTTGATGTGTAGAGCAACTGAGCATCTTGAGGGTGTGGATTAGTGGCGTATCCAAGGCCTGACATGGCCTGGCACTGACAGGCCACCGGTACTTTTTGCCAGGCCACTGAGAAAAATTTCTTACTAGGTATTTTTTTTTAAATTATACTGTCAATGAAGTTATATAAGACTATATCTCTGATAATGAGAGACATCTGAAGAATACTATAAATAACTGAACAAGTCAATAGGCAGGGGGATGAACTCTCGACATTTCAAGTTTTAAAAGCAGGGAGGCGCAGCACCCTTTTTGCTAAAATCTAACGCAAAAAACTATGTAAAAACCCTTTTTTTTATTTTATAGATCACATAAAAACCGAAATTTTTCCAGAGCAAGGGGGCGTAGTGCCCCGTGCGTTGCCCTCACTCTGTAGGCCCTTTGTTTCGCGTTAAATTAATCCTTATCTAAAACACTGAAAGATTATAGACTGATTTTGAATCATCAGAAAATTATCAAGTAATACGCAGGGCTGTCGCAATGTTAAAGATTGGCGGAGGTCGAAAAGTTTTCGAAAATTCTTCAGAAACTTCCACAAACTACCAAAATTTTTAAAAAAACTAATGATTTTTTGAAAATTTCTGAAGATTTTTGTGAGTTTTTAACGATTTTTCGAAAACTTTTGCAAAATTTTTATAAATTATCAGAAATCTTTCGAAGACTTCGGAAAATTTCGAAAGACTTTCTCAAAAAGTCGTCCAGAATTTCTGAAAATCTCTTAATAATTTTCAAAAAATGGTAAGCAAAAAAAACAAAATTTCCAAAGATTGGGATGGATAACGCTCCTACCTCCCCCTCCGGTCGCGACACCCCTAATGGTATGATAGGTTTTAAAAATTTCGTAAGGCATTGCCAGGCCACCAGTCAAATCCTAGCTATGCCACTAATGTGGATGAGTGATTTAGTGGCCAAACGTCGACAACAAAATATTGATAAGTAAAAATGTCGACAAATAATGTTGATAGATAAAATGTCGATAGGTAAAATGCCGACGTATAAAAAAAATGTCGAAAATTTTATCATGATATAGAAAAACCGTGTAGCATATGCTGTCATGTATTTTTTTTCTGTTTCCGCATTTTCTTTGAGGATAGGTCTAGGTTTGCATGTGACATAAAAATAATACCCACCCTCACCCACAGCCACAGCCACACCCTCTGCCATCGATGGATTAGATAATAGTTGAATAATTTAGTATTATTATTCTTAATGATGGTACAAATGATATAAGTATCTATATAGGTAATAATAATAATTTCTATTCATTTTATCGAAGATATCCTACTGGTTATGATTCTCTTCCATGTTTTATTAATTTTATTGATATTAATAATGATCAACAATTAGATATACTTGTTGCAAATAATGGTACAGGAAGTATTGGAATATTTCTTGGAAATAAAAATGGTTTATTTTCTGAACAAATAATTTATTCAATGGGAATTAAATCTTATCCTTATGCAATTGGTATTGGTGATTTTAATCATAATAATAAAACAGATTTTGTTGTAACTAAATATGGAATAAATGAAATTGAAATCTTTCTCGATTTTAATAATGATCTATTAACTGATATTGCTGTTGCAATGACTGGTACTAATAATATTAAAATTCTTTCAAAATCTTGTTCATAATTAAACTCTTGTAATTAAATGGGTGTAGTGTTAAATGTCGAAAGGAAAAATGTCGAAAAAAAGAGAAGGAAAATATCGAAAAGGAAAAAATATATAGTATAAAGACCGAAAAGACTGACGTCGAATAGAATAAATAATCAGTAGGAAAAAGTAGAAAGGAGAATGTAGATAGACAAAAGATCGAAAATGAAGTTTTTAATATGACACGATGGG